GAGGGGAAGGGGAAAGGAAAGAAGGGAAAGGAAAAATTATGAGAAAGAAAAAATGGAAACAAAGTCTATGTAAATAGGGAAGGGCGAACAAGTAATGGGGAAAAAATAAGAACCAAGATACATGATGTACAGGTACAAGCACCCAATGATAAATGTTAACGTATTGTATACCTAACGTACCAATAAAAGAGTTTAAGGAAAAAAATAATAAATGAAAGTAAATATGGATTGAGATTACATGTGGTAGGCAGTGTGGTAGGTGCTGGATAATAGTTGTCACTAATTGACTTCCATATGTATTACGTGCTTGATTCCATTTAATTTATAGAATTCTACAAATAAGATATTACTATTTTTTTCTTTTTTCTTTTTGGTACCAGGGATTGAACTTGGGTCCTCGCGCTTGCACAGCAGGTGGCAAAACCACTGAGCTAAATCCTCGGCCCAGGTATTACTATTTCTACCTCTACAAAGTCGGCCTGCTTTGCTCAGTACTATGACTTTGGCACCCTGTAAACAATTAAGTAAATAAATAAACAGTGTGTGGACAGATGAATGATGGGTGATGTCCAGGGATCCAGACAGCACTGCTCAAGGCTGCTCATCCTGCGGCAGAGCCAGGATTTGAATTCAGCAGGGTGGTTACTACACACTAGGCTCTGCCACACTGGGGACTTGAAAAACTTGTTGAATCATGTTGATAGCTCATAAGAATTTATTAATCTGATGTTTTAAAGGAAATGTTTTGAAAATTAACAGACTCATCACGCCCTACTCTTAAAAGTGGAAATGGCCTAGAATTTCAATAAAGGTGAAAAAATCAGTCACCACCTAAAACAAAAAAACCTGATGCTGTGTCCTCATCCACCTTAGTCAGTGGATCTGGCACCACACGACTTCCAGCCCTTCCCAAAGTCGAAATGACCATGACAGGGAAACATTCAGGACAGTGCAGCTAAAGACACTCGGGAGAGAGGGCTCCAGAGCCGCTGCAGGAAGAGGCCAGGACGGTGGGAGGAGCGCGTTCAGAGCCAGGGGAGGATTCTGCGGGGATTCATGGCAATGCGTCTTTACTGTACTAGGGTTTTAAAATTAAAATCTTTACTGAATTCATCGATCATGACTCATCTAACAAGCACATCCACTTCCCACAGGGTGGGCTGAGCACAGAGCAGCAACTGAAGGTACAGCACCTTTTATTTACCGTTACACAGACGATGTGACAGGAAACACACCTGAATGCCCTTCGAGACCCTACAGGAGGTCACAGGCGCCGCAGCCTCTGGACAGGGACTGAGGAGCCGCGAAAGGTGCACAGGACCTGCCTCCCCGTGGAGTGCCCAGGGCGGCTTCACGTGGGTCACAGGGAGGTGCTTGGCACACAGCATTTCCCTGAGACAACACTTCGCCCGCCGGAGCCCCGTAGCTGCCCCATGCCACCTGCACACCCGCGCGTCACACCAGTCCACGGGCTGGCCGAGAACCTCGAGATTTACCAATTAATAACCGAGGCCGAGTCGCGGCACATGCTGGCCACGCAGTAGATCGATTCCCCCTTCAGGAATCCATCCATCCAGCCTGGATCAAGCCCTGGACACTGGCGTGGGTGGAGGAGTGGCCCGGCTCCCCTCTGTCCAGGTGCCTCTTCTGTCAGGAGAGCAACACCCCATCCACCAGCGAACAGTGCTGTATGCAGACTTCGAGGCTGGGTGGGCTGAGTGGTACTGAGTTTCTCATATGCACATCGTAGCACCTGCTATAAGAAGACCACCTTGCCTGCCTCCCCCAGGGAGTCCTGTGCGTCCACAGGGGCCCGGGAGAACTCAACTCTCCTGAGTGTAAGCAGACGGAGGCAGCACGTGGGGACCCCAACCTCAATTAGGTTCTTCGAAAACATCGGACATGGCCTTGCTCTAGGCACAAAAACGACTTCTGTAAAAAAATAAAAGTGAGCCCTAGCAGGGCTGTGTCTCAGAGGGAAGGGGAGTAAACGGGGAATGCGGGTGAGGTTTCAGCGAGAGCCCAGGCCTGTCTGGCTTCTCCTCTAGGTCGATGCCTGCAGTTTCTGCAGAAGCAAAGGGAAACTGTCGGAGTCTAAGAAACATCTCGGATCCCCAGATCCCCGCCAGGACTTCTTAGTCTGGAGAGAAGAGACGATATTTTGGAAAATACATCAGCCCTAGCCTGAGTAGGCTGTGAAACTACAATGCAGGAAGCAGCTAATTATATACATAAATAACATAAAAATAAGTATAAATTAAAAAGCGGAAAGGTCGCCCACTGAGTCCCGCAGAGCGGAGAGGCACATGCGGACTCGGAGAGGCTGTCATGGTGCAGCCTCTGCGGGCCGGGCCCACTGCCCAACAGCACGGGTTGCCCACCAGTTCCGGTCCGTCCTCAACAGCTTGCTGCTGGAAGCGCTGAAGCAGGCACGTTTTGTGTGGCTCCGACCCCTCCTCGTGGTACCGCAGCCGGCTCACTCGCTTCCCGGTGCATTTTCAGACAGGATCTCACTATGCAGCCCCAAGCTGGCCTTGAACTCAAGGCGACTCTCTGGCATCAGCCTCCCAAGTGCTGGATCACAGAAGTTCCTTACCACACACGGCTCTGCTGCTCATTCGCCATGTCTTCAGGATGGCACTGGTAACGGAAGCTTGGGGACGAAGGTGACCAAGGACATAACAGCAAGTGCATCCTCTCAGTCTGGTTAGCATCAGAGGGACCAGAATAATCCAGCTGCACTTCCTTCCGCCTCAGTGTCAGGGACACATGGCACACACGTGTGGTGGCGTGTCCCGCCGTGTCCTCCTTCCATGTTTCCGCTGCTGAGCTGACCTTCGCCTGCTTCTGCACTGTTTTTTTTTTTTTTTAGTACTGGGGATCGAACTCGGGTCCTTGTGCTTGCGAGGCAGGCGGCAGAACCACTGAGCTACATCCCCGGTCCTGCTTCGGCATTCGGAAGACCCTGGCTTCTCCCTGGGAAGAGCCCACCGTGTCCATACTCAAGAGGAAACTGGTTTTCTTCGAACACATCGACCTTTGGAACTAAGGCTCACAGGGGAAGAAAACACGGGTTTCCTCCCTGTGCTTCAGTCCAGGGCTGCAGCTGAGCTCAGCCACAGTAAATACATGTGGTGGCAGGGAACCTGAGAGGCCCTGTGGAGCCCAGGGCCCGGTCCTTCCGCAGCTCGGCCAGCAGCTACGCTGAGCCACAGCGCAAAGGACTCGGTCATGTCAGACACACTTAGAACACGCTGGCCACACAGGGGCTGGAAATCCAGTGAAAAGAGAAGGGGAAGCTACTGGAATCAGTTGGCGAACACCCCAAGGCGCCTCTTCTGCCTGCCTTGGTGGCCTTGCAGGACCCTGGCCCATGTGTGTCGCATTCTCACACTGCGTCTCACCTATGGCCGCAGGTGTTCTACAAACCGGACCCAGCTCATATTCCAGACAGAGCGGAAGTTCCTTTAGTTTCGATCTGCTCGTGCTAAAATTCGGCTGCAGTGTGAGCTGCCCACTGCGGTGCTACCGGGAGGACTCAGCTGGGTTCTAAGCAAGAACTGAGCTCTAAAGGAAACAACGAGACCCCTGTGTTCCTCCCGGAGCGGCGCCCAATTCGGGATCCTGCTTCTCTCCCCACGTCCAGGCCCCGAGCTCTGTGCTGGGCTGGGCTGTGGCCCCAGGTTGGCCGTGCCACCTGCTAAGACAGATCCGGGATGGGATGGGGTTCCGAACTCTGGCCTGCTGCGCCGGGCTGGGTGTGGAGATGGTTCTGCAAAGCTGGCCGACCTCCCTAGGATGCAGCGATTTGGAATCCAGCCATCAAGCCAGAGCCTGGGGCCCTGAGGGATCACAGCGGCTCAGTAGCTGTACATCTGCGGCTGCTCCGCCGGGGCCTGGGGTGGTGCTGACGGCTGTGGGGGTGCAGGGGTCTGCGCCGGGGGCAGCACGTCCGTCTGGGGCACAGCCCGCCACGTGAGCGGGTGCTGCTCGCCCAGCTGGTTCCCCAGGGGCGTGATGGAGTTGACCAGTGTGGTCAGGTTGATGAAATGTGCCACAGACTGCGGACTCGAGGCCTCGGGCTGGGGGTGGATCTGGACCTCGCTGGGCCGGTTGTGCAGCATGGCGGATCCGCTGACGGTGTCGAAGGTCACGGTCAGGATGGAGTTGTCCAGCTGGAGCTGGCGTTCAGGGGTGGTGAGGTGCCCCACAGCCACTGGCTGCAGGTTGGTAAACTGAGTCCCGGCCGCAGTGGTGATAGGCGTCACAGTGATGTTGGTCAGGCCGACGGAGCTGGACGGGGCGGTCACGCTGGGGTCGCCCAGAGTCACCACCACCTGGAAGAGACAGCAAGAGCGTGAGCCGGTTCTGCTGAAGGGGGCGTGGACTCTGCTGGGGCGACTGTGCCCCGGGGTGAGGCCAGAGAGGCAGGCATCTTCGGGGAAAGAGGAAACTGAGTCAGCCTTCCCAGACAAGCTAACACGCTAGAAATAAGACTCTCGGAGGCAATGGGGCAGGATGGAGGATCGGCTGAGTTTCGCTGGCTACAAAGACAAGAAAACCAAGCCGGAAGGCGACGGGAAGTGGCCTCTTCTCTACCCTCCTCTAAGCTCCCGGCTGCTGGGAAAGGAGCCTGCTGCACACGGCCAACGTGCCTGCCGGGCCGGCAGCTAAGGGAACAGAAGCAGGACGACTTGGGCCATGTAAGCGAGGATTTCTGCAGGCAACATCAGCACCCCAAGAGGAACAGAGGGCCGCAGTTAGACAGACTGAGGAAGATGCGTGGCCTGACTGAAGTGAAGAAGCTGAGCACAGTGCTGGCTTCACGGGAACCCTCCCTGCAGGTCCCTGGGGTGGGCGGCTCCAGCTGTCCCTGCATGACCACCAGTGCCAGGGCTGCCCATCTGCACTGCAGGGACACACTCCGCAGGGACCCTCCAGGATGTCCCCAACTGCAGCCAAAGGACCTCCCGTTGCTATTAGCAACTGCACGTGGGCCAGGGCAGGGCTTCTATGAAAACTGGGACCCAAGTGCTGATTCCACCCACAGAGCCCTGGCACCCACCAGGCGGGAAGGCTGGCGCCCTGCGGTGGGGACCCCACGCCTGCCTGCACCGACCTGCTGGATGCTCTGCACGGCCGAGCTGGTCTCGTCAGCCGCGCTGCCCGGGAACTCGGGCTCCTTCTCCGAGTATTCGCTGAAGGCGGCGGCTTCCTCGGGTGCCGGCCCGCCAGCGTCCTCCTCGGGCTTCTGCTTCCGCTTGTGGCTGCGCTTGGCAGCTTTCACGTGCTTCCCTTCCGCCAGCTCCTCCTGCTCCACGCTCAACTCGGGCTGGGGGGAGATAGGTTTCAGCCCCGTCAGGTCCTCCAGCCTTGGGAGGCGGGAGGGGCCGGCTACAATTTGTGCTCAAATGTAAACATCTTTAAAGACCAGTGTGTGTGTTGGAGGTTCTGGGGAGCGAATGTGGGGCCTTCCCACTGAGCCACAAACCCAGCCATTTTATTTATTTATTTATTTTTATTCTTAACTTCTTTTATTGGTACATGTTAGGTATACAATACGTTTACATTTATCACTGGGTGCTTGTACCTGTACATCATGTACCTTGGTTCTTATTTTTCCCCCATTCCCTGTGCACCCTTCACCCCTCCACCCTTCCCTATTTACAAAGACTTTGTTTCCATTTTTTTCTTTTCTCATAATTTTTCCTTTCCCTTCTTTCCTTTCCCCTTCCCCTCCCACCTCCCCTACCCCTTTGGAAATTTTCCTATTTCAAATTATCAGTTATTCATTTTAATCATTTTAATCCTTATTTACACTTTGTTTCTCACACTAGAGAAACTATTCGGTATTTACACGTGTGTCCTATTTATTTCACCTAAGAGGATGGCCTCAATGTTCATGCATTTAGCTGTAAATGTCTCTAGTTTCTGGTTCTTTATGGCTGAGTAGTACTCCATTTTATTAAAAAACCACATCTTCTTTATCCAGTCTCCAGTTGATGGGCACTTGGGCTGTTTCCAAGCTTTAGCTATTACAAACTGTGCCGCTATAAACATGGGTGCACATACATCACTGTTGTATGATTCTTTTAATTCTTTTGGGAAGATCCCCAGCAGGGGGATAGCTGGGTCAAATGGGACCTCCAGCCCTAGTTCTTTGAAGTATCTGCACACTGATTTCCACAGTGGCTGCACCAGCCTGCACTCCTACCAGCAATCAACCCCAGCCCTTTAAAAAGTTTTGAGTCAGGGCCTCACCGTGTCACTAGAGTGCCCAGGCTGAGCTCAGACTGTGATTCCTCCTGCCTCAGCCTTCCAGAGGTCTGGGATAAAAGCTAGTTTTTAAGGCCACAGGGAAAAGGGAAATGTTTCTGCCCTGGGAACAAGGAAAATGCTTTCCAATCCAATCTTTCTTCCCCCAAGGCTGAAACTAATTCATGAGAAAGCAGGTTTGGATTTCGGTGGTTCTGACCACAAATGCCCTAGACATCTCCTTTTGGGACAGTGAAGTGGGACCCTCTGCAGAAACGGCTTGCGGGTCCAAGGGCTGGGCCTGGACGGCCACATGCTTGCTCGGGCCCAGCCACCCTGGCAACGCTGCCTCGCCGGTGCTTTTTCTAATGAAAAAGACCCTTTCCCGGGGAAGGGGACAGAGAGGGCAGGAGCCTGGAGACCTGGGATGCAGCACCAGCTCCCCATGGGGATGTGCTCATTCTGTGCTGCAGACACCAATGGATGAAAACCAGGACTGGCCCGGCGGCCCGGCCTGAGGCCATCTGACGCAGCCGTGCTGGGCTCAGGACCTGGGGTGGAGCTGAGCTTGTGAGGGACCACCCTGCAGCACAAAGCTGGCACCCGGAGTGCACACTCCACACCGCACGGACGCGCTAGCTGCCCGGACGGCCTGCAGGAGGCCGACCCAGGCAGGGTCCCCGGACAGCACAGGCGGGTGGGGCCCCAGGCACGGCCTGCGCTCACCTGCACGATGCCAATGGACGAGGCGTCGATGGTGGTCGTCTCGGGGAGGTGGTCCAGGTCATCGATCCTCACGGCCAGCACCTGAGGGCAGCGGGCGGTGAGAGGACAGAGGGGACCCCTGGCCCCACACCCTGGCTTCCAGTCTCCCAGCCCCTGTCCACGTGGGGATGGCTCCTCCTCTGCTGTGGCCTGGGCAGCTGACTCGGGCGCCCGTCGCTCCCCAGCAAGGCCGGGACAGGAGAGCAGCACAGCACCTGACTCGCAGTAGCCTCAGCTGTGGGCAAGGTTCCCTTTCGTTGCCCTGCCCGGCCTTCCCTCCCTCAGGGCAAGGAGGTGTCCCTGGCTGCAGCACTCACCCTGTGACTTCTGCCTCCGGCCAGCTCAGGGTCCTGCCCGAGGCACCCAGGCCTGCCCTTCCCTGTGCACATGTCACAGTCACGTGGCAGGGGAGTGGACTCTCGAGGGACAGCCAGGCCAGACCAGGGAGCTGCAAACACCTGTCTTCCAGGTTCCGCATCCCAGCAGCTGCTCACTGTGTAGCCAGGCTGGCCTTGAACCCAGAGGGACCCTCCTGCCTCAGCCTCCTGAATGCTGGGTTATAGGCGGGCACCACCACACCAGACTAATTTTTGCTCAGCTAACAAAAGTAGAAATGGCCTGGGGATGGGGCTTCTTTAAAAGAGACAAAGGCGACTGCTGCTTCGGATTTACACTCACTCTGGCTTTCAATACAGGAAGATCAGAGCCGTGGAGGCTCCTGCAGGTCCCCAGCGGCTGCCATTTGCAATGCAGCAGTGCGGCCCGCAGGCAGCTGAGGTAAGGGCAAGCAGGGGCTCTCAGCCCGCTCCTGGCTTGTTTCCTTGACGCACAGAAGCCCTGAGCGACTGCGGGCGGACCCAAGGCCCCTCCGCTCACAGCCCTCTCGCTCCCTGCCCTTGCGCTCAGACACCTCCCCTCCAGGGATGAGCTGCCGCCCACCTTTCCTTCTTTCCAGTGCAGTCCATTATTGATGTCCCTGACTTTTTGTGTGCAGTGCTGGGGACTGAACCCAGGGCCTCCAAGTCTTTTAACTTTGACCTTGACGCTAAGGGGCTAAGTTGCCTCAGCTGGGCTAGAAGCTGCAGCCTTCCTGCCTCAGCCCCTCCAAGTGTGCATTGGCTTCCCCCACAGGCGAAGGGGAGGCGGAGCTGGGCCAACTCACCTCGGGGTGCTTGCGTCGCATGTGGCGGCTCATGGAGGCGCGGGTCGACACCTTGGTCCCGCATAGCTGGCAGCTCTGCGCCTCCACCTTGTCGTGCGTGAGTTGCACGTGCTTCTGCAGCATGTACTCCGTCACATACTTCTTGTCGCACACGGAGCATGTCCACTGCTTGCCCACTGTGAGGGCGCAGACACAGGAGGGACAGACAGACGGACGAGGGTGGCAGGTCGGCCCGGGCCCACGGTCCTTCCCCCCCACACGAGCCGGCTCTGCCCCCTCCCCAGGACCTCGTGCACCAGGTTGGGCCCATGACAAGCGTGGCCCAGACCCGTGGGCAAGCACTGTCACACGGACACCCGAGGGAGGGGCTCGAGGCTCCAGGCCGCGCACGCCCCTACCTGTGTGGATGAGCTTGTGCGTCTCCATCGTGTTCCTCTCGCTGAAAGTCTTTCCACACAACTCACACATGAAATCCTTAATCCCTGCGGGAAAGGGCATGTTGAGTCTCATGTGTTTCATAAGCATTTTAGTTTTCTTTTTTTTTTAATCTTATCAAGACAGGGTCTCCTACCTAGTCCAGGCTGGCCTTGAACTCACTGTGTAGCCCAAACCACCTTGAACTTGCAGCGACCCTCCTAACAGCCATGCAGCCCTACACCTGGCATAAGTGTTTTACCTACACAGTAAACATGTCTTATCTCTGGTAACCTCCAGGGGAGGGGAAGAGGAGTGGCCAGAAGATGATACACAGACACACACTCCACCCTCGTGTGCATCCCCAGCCCACCCAGAAAACTGACTTGAAAAGCCTCCTCCCTGCAGGGCCAGCTCCCATCCAAGCGTAAGGAGGGTGGAAGGCTGAGAATGCGGTGTGAGCAGATCCCGCATCCCAGGAGCAAGGACCAGGGTCGGCGTGCATGTCCACCTGTCCACACCCGACTCAGCCCGGACAAGAGGCCTCAGACAGCAAAGGTGGGGCAGGGGGCAGAGCTGATGGATGAGAGCCTGGACCTGCCTGGGGGACGTGAACTCAGGGCATCGAGGGGACGCGTCCTGGCCACGCTGCACTTCCACTCCTGGCAGCACAGCAAGGTCACGTGCATGGCCCGGCCTCGTCCATCCGTCCGTCCATCCGGGGACACAGGGCCAGTTCCTCACCTGGGACCTGGGTCTTGGAGTGCGAGGGCCGCAGGGGCGGGTGGGATCACGTGGCTCAGCCCACCAGAGGCCGTGTTCCAAACCCAACACAGAGCCCGGCTGCTCAGGCTTGGGAGGCCCTTCCTGCATACCTCAGGGCTGGGGGACGGGCCCACGGCCGGCCAGCACGCTGAGCTGGGGCTGCAGGCTCCCTCGAGATCCAGCCGAGGGGAGGCCGTGCACGCCCACCGCGCTCACTCAGTGCAGGCCAGCAGGCGAGAGAGAGAAAAGCCGGGCAAGAGGACGCCACGTCCTGGGTGCGGATCCCCTGTTCCCAGGCGCAGAGGAACCCAGTGACTCCTCCTGCACACTGTGAAGACTGAGCAATTTGCTAAAGTTGCAGGATAGGAAATCAACATACAATGTTGGCACAGTCGAGCGAACTTGTGATCCCAGCATGCTGGGAGGCTGAGGCAGGAGGGCAGCAAGTTCGAGGGCCCCATGGACACCTCAGTGACTCAGCGAGACCCTGTCTCAAAAACTTAAAAGAAACACTGGCCGAGAAGGAAATCACGAACGTGATCCTATTCCTAATGGATACAAATGCAAAGCCAAACCAAATACCTAGGAATGCATTTAACCGGGAAGCAGAGAAAATTACATTCAAAACACGGAAGGAGACACCAAAAAACGCGGAGGGGCCCTGGGCGTGGGGGAGACTAATGTGGCTGACATGTCCACACTGCCTAAAGCAGCTCACAGCTCCGGCCGCCCCTCGCCACACCACATCGCTCTTCACAGCCCGAAGTCCACGCGGCCGGCACCAAACACACAGAACAGGCCAAGCAATCTGGACCGAAAAGAACAAAGTGGAGGCCAGACCCGCTCCACTTGAAGACATGCCAGGGTGCAACAGCAGCGCGACATAAATGCACACGGGCTGGGCCAGGGACGTAGCTCACGGCGCTGTGCCTGCCTCACAAGCGCAAGGTCCTGAGTTCAATCTCCAGTACCGAAAACCAGACAGACAAAAGAACCCACACTTGGACCAAGGGCAAAACCCTGATCCCAGAAACGAAAGCCGTCCAAGCCAGTGCGCGAGGGCCGGGGACACCCGGGCGGGGACAGCCCAGGTGGGAGGGCCCCTCGGAAACAGGGAAGGCCGACCTAGGCCGGGCGAACTCAGACCCGCCTGGCGCTCTGGGCGCAAATCAGCTGAGTGGAGGGGGCACCTGTGCTGGGAGAGGACCCGAGGACACGCTCGGCGGTCACGTTTTGGACCCGACCCCTCACACAGACCCGTGCGCTTCACTGCACTGAGCGCGGGCAGAACAGGTCATCGTCAGGACGGGCCAGCGGTCTGAAGCGACGGGAGAGGCGGAGCCTGGCCCCGGGCTGGGGCCATGCGGGCTGGGGCCCGCGCAGGCGCTCACCCGTGTGCCGCTTGTAGTGCTTCAGCATGTTGACCTTCTGCGCGAACTTGCGGTGGCACTCCTTGCACTCGTACTCCTTGATGCCCTTGTGCAGCTTCATGTGATGGCGCAGCGCATGCTTGGTCTTCATGCCTGGGGACAGAAGCGGCTCGGTGGGCCCGGCCCCTGGCGATGGACACCCCCCTGGACGGAGGCCAGAGCCCCCTCGAGGTCCGGGGGGGGCGGGGGGGGGACGGGGCACTGCTGACTCCCGCGTCTTCCCACTGTGGTCCCGTCTGATGGATGACAGGAGGCTGTAGGGCCATGCAGGTCCCGCAACACTGGGTGACACGTGCCAATCATGGTGAGGACCCTACGAGGTTCGTAGTTTCAGGAGTGGCTTCTGAGCTGCTTTTACTTTAATGTTGCTGGGCCAGGGATTTAGCTCAGTGGGTTTCACTGCCTCCTACGCAGGCGCAAAGACCCGAGTTCGATCCCCAGTACAAAAAAAAAAAAAAATGTAATGTCGCTAATCTTGGTTGCTTATTGAGACAGGGCTCTCACTACGCAGCCCAGGCTGGCCTCCAACTTGCCGTGGGATCCTCCTGCCTCAGCCTCCAGAGTGCTGGGATGAGAGGTGCGTACCTCCACACCCGGCTAATGCTGCCAGCTGTGAGGAGCTGAAATGAGCCAGAGCCTTGGGGACTGAGGTGACGAGAGTGTCCCTGGGACGAGGCCTGAGCTGGGGAAGTGGAGGGATAGGCGGTCCAGGCCAGGAGCTGGGGGAGACAGGACGCGGCCCGGCACAGGCTGAGACACGCTCAGTGGCCTGGAGGACCCAGCGGAGGCCAGGCTGAGGGGCCCTGCTGCCGCCTCACCCTGGAAGGAGCTGCGGGAGGGGCCGGGCCTGCGGCTGGGTGGCCAGCGGCCGGAACCCAGAATTCTGAAACCGGGAGCCCGAGGACGGGAGGCGGAATTGCCACTTAGGGCCAGCACGGGGAGCCTGGCGCCCGCACCGGCAGACAGCCAGCAGCAGGCTTCACGCCGCACAGCGATAATCCCAGCGCACTGGGAGGCTGAGGCAGAAAGATCCTGCCAGACTAAGCAGCTTAGCGACTTAACGAGACCCTGTCTGGAAATAAACAGTGAAGAAGGGCTGGGGATGTAGCTCAGCTCAGCACAGGGGTCTTGGGTTCAATCCCGTCTCCCACACACAATCTTCGGAGTCAAGAGCCACGCTCCGCCTCACTCTGGGACAGAAAAGACAGGCTGGGAGGTCCTCCAGGTCCAGGCTCTCACTCCCAGGACCCCTCTCTGCCCGTGGGCGCCCGTGGGACACCGGTGTGGCCAGTGCGGCCCCACACCCACACTGTTTTCACAGCTACTCGCCTCTCCTGGTTTTCATTTATTCATTCAACAAACCCCTGAGCTCTGACGTGTACCCAGCACTGAGCCTCGGGGGCTCCTTCTAGGTGGGGAGAGCAGCATGCTGGGCAGGGCCAGGGTGGCATTCCTAAACAGGGAACATGGGCGGGTGTCTTGGGCCAAGGTGCCAGTGTGCATGAGACTCATCCCTCCCTCCATGTCTCGGGCTGCCTAACACAAAGAGGCTGCCAGCTCACCCCAGGCTAGTCTCCACACCGCAAGCGGGGCTGAGCACCCCTAACCCAGAGTGCTCGGGGCCGGTAGTGTTTCACACTGGGGAGTTTTTCAAATTTTGGAATATTTGCCCAGACCTGATGGCTAAGCATCCCCAAGCTGAAAATCTGAAGTGTAAATTGCTTCAAAATCAGAAAATTCTGAAACCTCAGTTCAGGGCTCAAAGTTTCTGATTTTGGAGAATTTCAGGTTTTGGGTTTGTGAATTGGGGGTGGTCAACACACCATCAGCTCTGTCCACCTTGGGGGACCCTGTTGCTGCCTCTCTAACTGTATGCTCTGCGGTCCCAGTGAGAGCACACCCGCCCCTCCCCACACAAACGTCCTCACGTTTATGACAGTGATGTGTCTTCCTGTTTTTGTTTTTGTTTTGTTTTTTGCAGCACTGGGGATTCAATCCAGGGCCTCTTTACTGAGCTACATCCCAAGCCTTTTAAAAAATTTTGAGACAGGGTCTCACCAAGTTTCCCAGGCTGGGTTCAAACTTGTGATCCTCCTGGCTCTGCCTCCAGAGTGCTGGGATCACAGGTGTGAGCCACCCCAGCCACCCTTTTTCAAAAAAGCCCTGGGAACAGCTTTGAAATAAACAAAACTGGGTATAAATGGTAAGGTTCTCTATACTAGGTCTGGTTCAATGTGTCCCCCATTTACCAACTATTGGGAAAAAGTGGTATTTTCAGTGCTTAAAGTCCCCGCCGCGGAAGACCAAGTCCTTGCCCGATCTCTGAACACTGGCTTTTGCCCTTGTGGGCAGCATGGCTGCCTCACAGGCCCTTCCCGAACGTGTCACGGGACGGTGTGAATCTGGGAAACACTGTTTTCTCCCCCGGCACCTGACCCCATCCCGGGGGCACTGATTACTGTACAGCATCCCGGGCAGTGAGCAGGCCTAGGGGCCGGTCTGGAATTTCCAGGGAAAATGTAAAGTCACATGGAGCAGGACGCTTCCCGCCATGCTGCCGAAATGACAGGGGGCTGCAAACAGAGCAGAACAAAGCCTCTTCACATGAGGGTCGTCTGGCTCCAGCCATGGAGTCCTGGGGAAGCTGCTTTAAATAGGCACCAATTCCACCTTCGGACTGGAAAGCTCTCCAAGTGAATTTTTAGGTAAAGAACAATCAAGCACGACATTTGCATGCCTGTACGGTGACTGCAAAGCCAGCAAGGCGACCCCACCAAAGTGCAGCTCATGGGAAATAACCATGTAACGTGGGAGTAACTGCCAGCATTTTACCTCAACTGTTCGGAATTCACACAAGCAAGGTGCTCAGAATGCGATGTCCCAAATGCTCAGATGCACCTGGTATTATATAACATGGGGCCAGGGCCAGGCCCAGGGATGTGGCTCAGTGGCACTGTGCCTGCCTGGCAAGCGCAAGGTCCTGAGTTCGATCCCCAGTACTGAAAAAAAACAAAACAGGGGGCTCTGATCTGAGCCCCTCTAGATGCTAAGTAACCTGGCCAGGCCCTGAGGGTCGCTGGAGACTCCAGGGGACCCCATGGTCTCCCCGCCTGTGGGAGGGACACCCCAGCCTGCCCAGGCCGTCCCTGCCCTGTGTGGGCCCCCTCCCAGCAGAACTGGCTAAATTTTAAGAAATTCATCTTTTCGGCCAAGGAGGGAGGAGGCTGGAGGCCTTGCATCCCCGCTGGGGCTTGGATGGTGACACAGCCCCAGCTGCGCCTGCTGAAGTCATTCCAGCCTCTGCAGGGGCCTGGGGAATCACTTCCGCAGCGCATCCTTTCAACCTGCACATGCTTTTGTTTCTTTCTTCTTTTTCTGGCTATGCAGTTGAACTCACTATACAGCCCAGGCTGTCCTGCGACTCATGGCAATCCTCCTGCCTCAGCCTCCCAAGTGCTTGGATTACACCTGTGAGCCACCGTGCCTGGCTCACAAGCTATTCTTCCCCGTGGGCTAAGAGGGGCTGCTGGCTGGCTGGGTTACACAGCCACTCAGTTTTCTTTATACTGTTCTGTTTAATATTTCTAAATGCACATGAAAGACAAAATAAAACCACTTAGGGAGTAAAAGCCCTGAAGTCACTATTGCTACACCAGAGCAGCTTCGTCCCCCCCGTCTGAAGGGGACCGCTCCGCCTCAGCCCTGACAGGAAAAGGGCTGCCAGAGGCCAGGGCCCACTGCCTGGAGGCTTCAGGTCTTTCTGGACAGGAATATGAGCCAGGCACAGTGGCATGTGACTGTAATCCCAGCCCTCGGGGAGGCTGAGACAGGAGAATCGTAAATTCCAGCCCAGCCCGGGCAGCTTTTGACTTAGTGAGACCCTGCCTCAAAACAAAGTAAAAAGGGCTCAACGCGAAGGCCAGGGCTGAGCCCCCAGCACGGCAAAAAGGAAGGGGGTGAGGAGGAGGCAGCAGCATGGACCGGCTCTCCCACTTGCTGCCGGGCTGCTTTACCTCGTGGGCGTCCCTTGCACCTGAAGCTTCGCAGGGAGAGGCTTCCTCTGCTCTTCCAGGCTGCCTGTGCCCTGGGCCCCAGGGCCCCAGCCAACCCCACCCTGCCCCCACCCGGCGCCTACCTTTGCCACACTCTGCACACAGGTACTCTCGGATGTTGTCGTGCACGCGCATGTGCTCCTTCAGCATGTCCTTGCGGGCGAAGGACTTCCCGCACTGCTCACACGCGTGGCTCTTCACACCTGCGGGCCAGGGGAGGAGACGCTGCTGCCCGGGCGGCCACCCCGAGACAACCCCCAGGCCGCCCTTGGCCGCCCAGGGTCCCGGGGCCCTGGAGGGGCGGGGCTGGGGAAGGCTAGGAAAGCTGGCGGGTAGAGGGGGCCACGCACCCGTGTGGATGAGCTTGTGGCGCTCCAGGTTCCCGATGCTGTTGAAGATGCGCCCACAGATCTCGCAGGGGTGGATGTACCTGAGGGAGGGCGGACACCTGCTCGGGCCAGCCCCGTCCCCCACCCCCCCCGCACCGGGGGACAGGGACCGAGGGGCCACAAGTGCACATGAGGCACGAGATTCCTGGCTCCATCACAGATGAGAGCTGGGTCCCAAGTACAACCCTGAGCCCATGCTCAGAACATGGCTACAAATGGACACGGGGCCTCCAGAGCACTAAGGCAGGAAGATGAGGCCACCAGGCCAGGCCTGGATCCACCTGGCCATGTCCTCAACAGATTAGGTCTGGACACAGACACAGGGAGGACGGCCCGAGAGCCAGCAGCAGAGCCCTCAGGAGGGCCCTGCCCAAGACCACGCCAGGGGCTCCGGGAGGGAGAATTAGAGGCCTGTGTTAGAGGCTGGGCCGACACGCAGTCGCAGCAGCCGGGGGTCAGCATCCCCGGCCTCACACATGCATGGCACCCACGCGGCCTGGAGGGGAGGCACACAGGGCTCTGTCCTGTCTCAGGGCGAGGGCAGGTGCAGGGCCGGGACAGGGCTCCGGGCGGCCCCCTGGGGCCTCTCACTTCTGCACGTTGGGGTCCGGCAGGTTCTCACGGTGGATGACCATGTGGGCGTGGTAGGTGGCCTTGAGTGCAAAGCGGCGGTGGCAGATGCTGCAGCCATAGCCCTTCTCCTTGTGCACCTCCATGATGTGCTTCAGGTACTCCTTCCCTCGGCCGAAGGTGAGCTGCAGGCACAGGCGCCGCTCACACTGCTGCCCGAGAGTACCCAGCACACGGCCAGAGGGACAGCAGGCGGGGCGCGGCCCTTCCGGGGCAGACCAGGAGAGCAGAGCGACGGGAGGGGGCCCGGCTACCCAAGGAGACGTCCCCGCCGGCGCAGCACTGTGAGCGTGCACTGGGCACCCGTCCCTGGGCCCGGGGACACGGACCCGGGGTGGCCTCCCTTGGGCGATGGCCCTGGGCGAGCACAAAGCCGCCCTGTGGGTCGCACTTCCTTCCCGGACCCCGGGGCTGCGGGACGGGCCGCGCACCTGACACCTCTTGCAGCTGTACTTGTGGGGCTCCGAGTCTGCGCTCTCGTCTGAGTTCTCCTCGTTCTCCTCGGACGAGATGCCGATCTTGCCGATGAACTCCTCCCGCTGGTGGTCGTCCATCAGCGCGATGTCCTGGGGACGGTCACAATGGGCTCTGGTGCTGCCCCAGGCCCCCCTTGGGGCCCCCACACCCTCCCGGCCCTGCGCCTTCGCACCTTGAAGTGCACGTGGATGTGGTCCCTGAGCACGTCTACACGGAAGAACTTGCGCCCACAGATCTCGCAGGTGTACTTCTTGTCCCCGTGGGTGAGCAGGTGCTTGTTCATGTTGCTCCGGCAGGAGAACACCTGGGCCGGGAGATGCCACGTGAGGGCAGCTGCCCGGAACCCACGGAGAACACTTTGCCCCGCTCAGGTCAGTGTGACAGCGCCTGTCCCGGTCTGCTGGGAGCGGGGCCAGGTCAGGCGACTTTAGCTCGAGGAGTTTCTTTCTGCAGTACTGGAATTGAACCAGGGCCTCTGCCTGGAGCTCCACCCCCAGCCCCTTTGCCTTCCGAGATGAGTCTCGCTAAGTTAGTCCCCTCAGCCTCCAGAGCTCTGGGGTCACAGGCATGTGCACCAAGCCCAGCTCCCTTTAAACACTTCACCAGCACGGAGCCCACCAGGGAGCCTGCGCTGCGTCAGTGCCACAGCTTCGACTGACTGAACGCCCAGGCCAGAGGAGAGCTGCCCGCCTGTGCTGAGGGCAGCCCTGCTGTCCCGGTGCTCTGTGTGCAGGGACTTGGGGAGGGGAGCCACGCCCACATCCCACAGGTCCCTGGGGTCACCTCTATGGCCAGCGCTGACCTGGGGTGGTCCATACAGGGCCTGTGCTGCCGGCATGGAGCAGGAGCCACAGCAGATGCCACACCGCCCATCCCATCCCCGTTCCAGGGCCCATCCGCTCACTGGGTGTGGGTGTGCATCCCCCTCCCGATCCCCAGCCCCAGCCCGGAGCTCTGAGTCAGAGGGCCCCAGCCTACGCTGGGCTTTAAAAAGCAATCAGAATATTTTGTGTGAAGGTAAACAAATGCACACGCACTGGCAGAAGGGACAGCCGGTGCTCTCAGCCGCCACCCCGGGGGGCACATGGGGAGGTGGCACCTGCTAAGGAAAACCACTGTTCCCGGCTCATTCCCGGCACCTTTGCCCCAAGGAGGCGGTGCATCAGGTGTCAGCGGTGAGCACGCACCAGGGTCCAAGATGATCAGAGCTACTGCAAATTCCCCGCAACTCCGTGCTGCAGCTGAGTTTCACCGAGGACAACGGCGCACGCTCCCCGGCCCCCGCCCCGGCCCCCTGCGATCCAGGCATTACCTTGCCACACACCGGGCACCCCGACGGCTCCTTCTTGTAGCGCACCAGGCTCTCGCTGCCGGACTCCAGGTCCTCTCTTTTCACTCGCCGCACTCCTGAAACCCCGACCCGGGAGGCAGTGAGCACCGGGCCTGTGAGATGGCCCAGGAGGGGCCGCCCAGAAGGGACAGAGCTGGGGCAGGTGCAGCACGCAGCATGCAGCCGGCAGGGAGGAGGAGGCCACAGTGGCCAGAAGGGGCTGCCACGCACAGGGCACCCAGGCTTTTAGTTTGGAAGAGCGACGAGGAGCCTCGATTGGACAGGGGTCTGATTAATCCCAGAGGCCTCTGGAGGCTGCAAGAAGGCAGACTTCTTATGGGAAAACCCTCATCTCCATGTCTTGCAAATCAAACCAGACAACTCAGGGTCAGGGTAAGAAGTCAGAAGATCATACAATCTTTTGGTTTGAAAGGATAGGAGTAGGATAAAAACAAACTCTGATCTTTAAAAAAGCTCACACTGGCTGGGTGCAGTGGTGCACACCCAGGTTGCAGCAGTCAGGAGGCTGAGGCAGGAGGATTTCTTGAGGCCAGGGGTTCAGGGCCAGCCCGTGCAGCATAGCGAGATTCCATCTCAATGACGATGATAATAAAAAATGTTCATGTGAACACAAGCTTTGACAGAAGAGAGCAATGCTCAGTGTTTTCCCAGGGGCATTTCTACACAACAGGATGTCAACGCTGAGCCCGGGAGCAGGGCGTGGAGCCAGGCAGACCCGGACTTCCGGGCACATGGGCCGGGCAGGTGTGGTCGGGGCTCCCAGGTGCAGCGACACTGCAGAGCAGCCTCAGGCCCCGAGGTGACAGCCTCAGCCAGGCTGTGTCCCCAGCACCCAGTGGCCTTGCAGGGGCCTCGGGGCGTAGGGGCCCCCAGTTCACCGGCCCTGGGGAGGGGTGATCGTTACTGCAGCTGCACAGGGTGAGGAAACTGAGGCACGGCAGCTTGCCCAGGGCTCCCCAGGGGCTGAATGGGGGCTGGAGACTCCCTAAGTAACACCGAGGGAAGAAGACCTGGTGGGTCTTCACGCACCATGCAAAAAGGGCACAAATAAAGAAGTGTGGAAATTCACGTGGGATGTGACCCTGGTCTTGTTTAATGAAGGTCTGATGTGGGTGTGCACACACATGTGGGCATGGGCATGCGGCGGGCAATGATGTGCACACCTGTGGATACTTGTGTGCCTGCATGTTCATGTATAAGTGTGTGTATGGATGCACTTGAACTGGGCATGGCTTTGTTAGCTTTCATTTTCTTTTTGTTTAGTTTTCGGGTTTGGTTTTGCTTCTGAGACAGAGTCTGGTGAAATGGGTATGCGCCGCCGTGCCTGGCTTTGTCCTCCTCTCAGCGAGCACAAGCTGTTTCCCTGCAAAGCAGTGCTTTCCGGTGCCAAGTAAAGGTGTCTTGGTCGGGCGCAGAGGACAGTGGTCCTCAAGGGAAGGCCAGGCTGCTCAGGGGCTGGAAGCACCTCCTGAGGTGAGGGCCTGGGCTCTGCACCCCGAAGTCTCCACCTCCACACGGACCTGCCTCGCTCCCCTCCTGGCCTCCTCCTGGCAGGGGCCCTGTGCAGCTCTGCACTGGCCCGCAGGGGCTGCTCCAGCCACCCTGGCTGTGCTGGGCTGTGTGCCCCTGGGGATGCTGCCTGGGAAGCCAGCTCACCCGGGCCGCTGCACACAGCCTGGGGCAGGGGGCTGTTGACAGCGCTCCCTGGCAGCTCCAGGAGTGCAGAGCGTGCTGGGGAGGGACTGGCTGGTGGCTCCACACCGGCTGAAAGCCAACAGAACATGCAGTTTCATACAGGGTGGGTTTCCCCACTTTGTGCCAAACAGGAAGGGCTTTTTTCCCACGATATTTGCTTTTTAGACAGGGCCTGGCAGTGTAGTGCAGGCTGGCCTGAACTCGAGGCAATCCTCCTGCTTCGGCCTCCTGAGTGCTGGGGGTACAGGCATGTGCCCCTGCACGCAGCACTTCCCGCATAGAAGCCTCCTGGGGGAAACTCAAAGCCTGTGCCCACTGGCGCCCGGCAGCCTGCTCACCCTCCAGGTGGCGCCGCTGGTGGTCAAGCATGACGTCCTTGCGGTAGAACATCTTGCTGCAGACCCCACAGGCGAACTTCTTGTCCCCGTGCTTCTTCTTGTGCTTGGAGAGGTTGCTGTTGGTGGAGAAGAATCTGAAACACATCTCACATTGGAACGTCTTGTCATCTGTCCGGAGAGCAAAAGACAGGGCTCTGGTCACCGCGCAGCCCTGGGCTTGTGTCCCGCGGGTGCCCGGCCCCTCCTGCCTCGGCCACCTGCCAGGTGCCCTGCCCGACAGCAGCCACGGCCCCAGCCGCCTGGCCCCTCCTGCTCCCCTCCCCAGCAGTACTGATTGGGCGACGCCCGCGGCCAGGCACTGGGTGCTGAGGGGGGCCCTGCAGGCTCAGGCAGCCTGCACTGCACGGCGCACCCAGCTCAAACCCCGGACAAAGCAAACCAGACCCCGTGTCCCTGGCCTCGTGTTACAGACACGCTCCACACACACCTCAGATAGACACGGCACACAGAGAAACACACCCACTCGCCCCACCCCACGCTCCCTACCAACATGAGCCATCACCCAGCGCACACTCACACTGTAACCGCCCCGTCCTGGCCGATTGCCCCTCCTCACAGGCAGCGCCCAGGCCCCGGGGCTCCGCCCCACGCCATCTTCCTCCAGGCCCTGCGCCTGCTCTCTGGGGTCCTCCAGGCAGAGGTGACACGGCGTCGCCCCCCCAGCTCAGGAAGCCAGTGCCTGGCGCAGACCCCCACAGCCGTGTGGACAGGGCTGTCCCATGTCCTCCCTACAGGCGGCTCGGGGCTCAGCCTTACCACTTGCTCCTGCCGCCCCTGCAGACCCCTGGGCTGGGTCATCTCCCCATGCTCCTGGGAGGGCCTGACAGTCAGTGCCCGGGTCCCCGGATGCCGGCAGTGTCCCCAGCCTCAGCCAGCGGCGAGAGCCAAGTGTTTTGATACCACCGGGGCCTGTGAGACGCTGCCCGAACCCGGGGTGGGCGCAGCCTGGCGACATCTTCCCTCAGCCCTGCTCCATGCGCCCTGAGGGAAGGAAGTGGGCCTCAGCTGTCCCATGTGGGACAGGAAGGGCTGTGTGCAGCCACAAGGCTACGCGAGGGCCAGGAGCAGAGGAGGTGGCGGCAGGCAGGAGACCTGGGGGAGACCAAGCCCGGGCCACACCCAGGCCCAGCAGGGAGCACAGGGGTGAGGCACAGGGGGCTCCAGGGCCGGGAGGAGGAGGCAGGCAGAGCCCGGCGTCCAGCACCTTCCTTCCTCCTACTGTTCCTGATTTTCATTTCGGTCCATCCGTGTTTGCAGGGCTAAACGGGTGTGCATCACACGGCTTCATTCTCCCATCACCCCCTCCCCTCCAGCTCTGAGTCCTCTTCCCAGTCCTAACAGATCTCTCTCCCCATTTCCTATAATCTGTCTTTTATTCGCTCTTCCATTTATTTATACTCTGGATTTCTCATCTAAGAGACAGCATGCAATGTTCAAGCTTGCATGTCTGATTTAGTTCACTTAGCATTATGGTCTCAGGATGCATCCATTTTCCCACAGCTGACTCAAGTTTATCCTTCTTTATGGCAGAGTAGTGCTCCACTGTGCATTGCTTTCCTTTGCTAGCATGAAGCACTGTTCATAGGACATCACCCCTGCCTGGACCTGTCTGGCCTGGCATCTAGGGGTGATGTCCCGTCACCCCCAGCCCTGCAGGGCATGGGTATCTTGACTGCCACGCGAGTGAATTCATTGTGACTTTGGTGGAACATAGCATTCGGCCCGCTCCCTGGTCACACCTCCTCAGTTAGGCATTGGAGGCGACTGAGCAACACAATCTCTGCTACCACGGCTCTGTGCTGCCGCGTGTCCTCAGCGTGATGCTCAGGAACAGGTCCCCTGGCCCAGGGACGCCAACCACACGGCTCTGTGTAGGGCCGCACCTCACAGCGCTGACCCGCTAATCAGCAGGACACCTACGGCAGCATGGAGCCCCACGGTGGGCAGTGCACACGGCGCCTTCCGGGGCAGGTGGGTATGGCAGGAGACCCCCGGGAGCCCCAGGGATCCGCCCAGACGCCACCCCCACACTGTCGGCCGCCTGGTCCCCAGTGACCTCCTCCTTTCGTCGCCCTGGTGCCAGGGGGCCCACGCTGTGTCCCTGCCACCGCAGCCATGGAGGACAGTGCCATGCGCCCGCCCTGCCCAGGACAGCAGGGGCAGCTTGCTCAGAGCTGGGGCCTGGAGCCTCCGCTGCTCCCCAGGGCCCGCTCAGGGTCACGGCAGCACAGGGGGCACCGGAGGACAAGGAGGGCGTCTGCCCCAGAGAAGTCACAGCACCGCGGGAGGCGCAGGGAAGCCCACCGCCACCCACGCACAGCTGCCCGCCTGTGCACGGGGACACGCGATGGTGCACCCCAACTCCACACGGCGAGCAGAGCCGCACAAGCGCAGGCAAGAAGGCAGCGCACAAATGAGCCCCACCAGGCTCTCACCCCGACCCAGAGCATCTCGGGAGAAACGTACTCGGCGCCTCGCTGCTCGCTCTGTGTCCCCAACAGCCGTCCCTGAACCCTGTGCACCGGCAAGCAGCAAGAGCTGCTCTATGGCCCCTGCTGACTCCTGACCCAAGAAACAGATGACCCCACAGGGCAGACCCTGGGCTGGTCTCAGGCGGATGCCACCTCCCAGGCAGAACCGCGAGGCCCTCAGGGAGGTGACATCTCTAACAGCTGCAAATGAAACGGAGGAGCTTGGGGCAGGCAGACCGCCACGCCAGAGGGGAGCACTACACACCACAGGGGAGCGCTGGGCGGAGGCCTGGAGTCTGGGGTGACTGCTGGAGTCAGGGGTGGGGCCTGCTGTCTGGGGCACACCGGCAGGGGGCTTTGGGTGCAGGATCACCAGGTAGCTCCCCGAGCCCACTGCTACTCTGGACACAGAAGGCTCAGAGCTGCGAGCTCCTTTCCCCTCAGAACAGCCCTGCCCCGGCCAGCAGAATGGTGGGTGCAGATGAACACACACTGCCTCCATATGGAGCCCTCAGAGCTGAACAAAGGTGCCCCAGGGGAGCAGTGGCCCTTCAGAGGCTCCTGAGCGCCATCAGGAGGCACAGATGGTGTGGGCCAACGGGAGCTGGTGGGCGGGGGCGGGCCTGGAGGGTCTCCGGGCTGACACCCAGTGGCCCCCATTTGTACGCATCCCAGAGAGAGGACGCAAAGAAGACCGTGACCCTGCCCTCCACATTCTCTGGTGACTGCTCAACTGCCTGGGCCTCCACTGCACAGCCACCCCCAAAGCACAGGGCACCCCAGGCCTCAGGGAATCACGGCCAGGAAGACAGCGCCCCCTCCTGGGCTCCAAACCATGCCTCCTCCATGATGCAGGAGATTCCACCAGAATATGCAGTGTTTGTATTTTACAAAGAATTAATACAGTAAAAGACACATTGCCATGAGTCCCCCTCAAAATCCTCCCTGTGCTTCAAACACACTCATCCCATCGCCCTTGTCACTTCCTGCAGCAGCTCTGGAGTCCTCTTTCCTGAGTGTCTTTATGACGTGTGATCAGAAATATGGTGGCTGTCGCTGCCGAGCGCCACTCATGGAAAGGCTGGATCGTAAAAACACGACACTATGTCTGTCCTCAGCCACCTTAGTCACTGGATCTGGCACTGTGTGACTTCGGCTCTTCCCCAAAGCCAGAATGACCAGGAAAGGGACACATTTTGAATGCATTCAGGACACTGAGGCAGCAGCTAAGCCAGCACAACTAAAGACACTCGGGCAAGAGGGTCCAGAGCCACTGCAGGAAGTGGCGAGCACGGTGGGGTGGGTGCGTCTGAAGCGAGGAGGACCGTGACAATGTGGCTTTTATCAGAACAAGTTTTTCAAAATGTCAACACTCAGTGTGTCTCTTATCACACTTGCACGTTTTCCTACGTACGCTGTCTCATTTCCCAGCTGTGGACCCAGCTTCCCCAGGCTGATCAGGTCACAGCCAGGGCTGCCGGCCTCGGCCTCTCGAGCACACAGGGTTCCACCTTCCTCCGGAGATGGGACAGAAGGCACGCAGGCCCTGAACAGAGTGCTGGGCTGGGGACCCCACCTGCTGCTCCTCGTCCTGCGGCTGTGGGGCCCATGGCCTGGCCGCCCGCTGTGACCCTCAGGGACGGAGCTGTGCACGGCCTCCCTCACTGCTCACCTGTCCTGCAGTTGTGGAACTCCAGCGCGCTCTCCATGCGGAAGGTCTTCCCGCAGGTGCCACAGCGGTGCCGGTACTCGCCGTCCACCTGGGCAGAGGGACCGGTCAGCCAGATGGGCATGCAAGAGCCGAACCCGCAGCCCAGGCCTCCCTGGCCACCCGCACGGAGGACATGAGGAGCAGAGCTGCTCTCTCTGCCGCCTGCTGCCCGGAGGACAGAAGCCACACTCGCCCTGCTGACTGCACCCGCTGGGCTGCTCAGCAATCACAGGCCGGGGCAGGCAACACCGGGCCACCAAGGACAGCGCCCCTGCTCCTGCCCATGCCCCTGCCCCTGCCCTTCGCAGGTCGGCACGCGGGCAGACACTCGGTCCTCACCCACCTCGTTCCTGCTGTGCTTGTAGGACACGTGCTGCTTCAGGCTCTCCTTACGGCTGAACAGCTTCGCACACTCCTCACACTTGAACAGTTTGTCACCTGGGGGCCGAGCAGGAGCTGAGCCTCTCCTCGGTGGGCACAGAGCAAGGCACCGCCCGGAAGCGCGGAGGCCCGGTGTCCCCGGGGTGGCCCCGGCCACACTCACCGTGGGAGCGCACGTGGCGGCTGAGGTTGCTGCTGTTCTGGAACACCTTGCTGCACACGCCGCACTGGTGCACACGCTTGTGCTCCCCCAGCTGGCGCGCCAGCTTCCGCCGGATGCCGTGCCTGCTGGCCAGGACCAGGCCCCGCTTCAGGGCCAGCGCGCTGCTCGTGTGGTGTGTGAACCTGCCGGCCGGGGCGGAGGGTCAGGGATGGGTGGGACCCGGGCCAGAGCAAAGGCTCCACGCCGGCGGCCAAGCCTCTTCGAGGAGGGCAGAGCTGGCTCATCTGACGCCACCGCGAGAGCGGAAGGGCCCAGCCGGGTCTCCTGAGACAGTGCCCGTCCATGCCGTCTGGCGGCCGCAGCCCATCCCGCTGCTGGGACCCTTACCCTGCACCTCAGCCTCGCTTCCCTCCTCCCGTGAACGTGTTTTTGGTGCTAAGCTCCCTGAAATCTTCCAGGCAATAAAACAAAGTGGAAGCAAATAAGCAGGAGACACCACTGCTGACCATCTGCGGTCTCGGTTTCTGGCGTCCCTGAAGGCACCGTCTGACAGCCCCGACACTACGGGGCGGGCGGGTGCGTTCAGCTTCAGGGCAGAAACTCACCCAGGAGTGGTAACAAAATCAGTTTCCTTGTGCACAGAGAGCAAAGGAGGAGAGCGTGCAGGGCAAAGGCTTAAATTTACTGAGGGGACGGCACTGCGGTGCAATGCGCCCAGCGGCCAGGCAGCAGGACCGTCCGGTGAGACCCGGCTGTTGGTGGGGTCAGCCGCACAGTGCCGGCAGGGGTGGAGCCTGAGGCAGGGGTGGAGCCTGAGCGTGGGCCGCTGGGCCAGATCAGCCAGGCACAGGTCGAGTCTTGCAAGCCCCTCCTTTGAGGGCTTTCGGGTCAGAGTCACAGCTGGAAGCAGAGCGGGGCCGGGAGGGGGCGGTGGGCGCGGGGCGGCAGTGTCCAAGCGGGCAGCTGAGAGGTCAGCGGTGCGTGACCACTGGGTCCCGGGCCCAGCCCTCCCAGATGCGACTCTGCCCGGGGAGGCCACTGGCCCTGCCTCGCTCTCTAGCTCTCTACTCACTTGGGCACCGGGCTGGTATCGCTCACAGGTGTGGCCAGCTTCCCCAGCACCAGCTCCATGATCCGCTCCTCGGGCGCCGCACTCACAGGCTGGTCCGGCGGGACCTCGGCGATGATCTCTGCCACTTGCCCTGCGCAAAGGGGGTGCGACAGGCAGAGGAGCCGTCACAGGGCGGGACACACAGCAAACCCAGGACGTGGCCGCGCTGGAGCAGGGCCAAGCCAACATGGACTCCAGGGGCTAAGTCACACTCAGAAAATAAGATTGGCGAAATTTTGGTATGCACACAGTTCTCTGCACATAAAGAAAAGCAAGTGGGGCCAGGATTTAGCTCAGTGGTTCCACCGCCTGCCTCGCACGTGCAAGGACCCAAGTTTGATCCCTGGTAACAAAAGAAAGAAAGAAAAGCAAGTGGGGCGTGGCGGTGCACACCCGTAATGCCAGCCTTCTGGGAGGCTGAGGCAGGAAGATTCCAAGTTCTAGCCCATCTTTGGCAACTTAGCTACTTAGCAAGACCCTGTCTTCAAAAGAGAAATAAAAAGGGCTGGGATGTGGCTCAGTGCAGAGCCTCTGGGTTCAAGCCCCAGTACCACCAAAAAAACAATGTTTGTCTTCAACCAAACTGAAGTTCCTTTTTATTTTTCTTTCTTTTTGGTACCAGGGATCAAACTCGGGTCCTTGCACTTGCAAGGAGGGCAGTGGAACCACTGAGCTAAATCCCCAACCCTCAAACTGAAGTTCTAATGTGTGATTCTTTTTTTTTTTTTTTTTTTTGGTCCCGGGGATCGAACTCAGGTCCTTGCGTTGCGAGGCAGGCGCCGGAACCACTGAGCTAAATCCCCGGTCCCGTGCGATTCTTTTTTAAAGCCACAACATCATAACATTACTGCAATCTGTCTTCATACCAACCACAAACGGTTTGGATGGACAGCAGAATCTTCTTACTCATTTAATTAGTTTTGACAAACTAGGGATATTAAAATTTATAATTAGACATGCCGTCCTGAGTATGTTTGGAAAGTGAACCACCACGGTGTCTATGAGTCAGGTATCAGATGGTCACCGCAGCAGGGCAGCAGGATCAGGCGGAGCCACACCTGGGTCCCTCCCCTGGCCCTGCCTGGCCCCCAGAGAGGCAGGGTGCTGTCCCGGCCTCCCCTCCCCTCCTTCCACCCATCCAGGAGCACAGGGACCAGGCACTCTCCGTCCTGCAAACCCCGAGGAGGACGGGGAGCCAGGACACCACACGAAGGTCCCGCTTCGGAATTCTCCTCAAATCCTAAGGATTTCTTCCCATTTTCAGAAAAGAAAGCCCCGGGATGTCCCCAGCAATTAAAGAAAAGGCACCAGGACTGGTAGGGCGGCAGGAAGGATGGCCAGCAGCTGGGCATCACGCCGGGCAAGTGCAGGGAGGTGGCCACTGGGACGGGCGGCCGGAAAGCGGACCCCACACCCGACTGGGCTCCAGCCATGGCCAGGCCGCCAGATTCTGTTTCTCAGGTGCAGTGGGCAAACACTAGGCAGGTGGGCAACAGGCCAGGTGCTGGCAGCTTGGGCAAGGGGCAGCGCCATACCACGCATGAGGACCCTGCCAGGGACGAGCAGGGCAGCGAGGAAAGGGAGCACCTCCACCCTCGTGGGCGTGTCCTGTCCAGCCTCTCCCGCCCAGCGGGGGCGTGGCCCCTGCACGGCACAGGAGGATGGAGGGGCAGAGGGTGGCGTGCGATCCCAGCCCAGGTTGGCCGTGCCCCACCCTGGCACGTGCCAGGCGCCAGCTGCTCACCTGTGGGCTCCTTATCCTCCACGATGACCAGAGGCTGCTCAGGTTTGGACGCTTTGGGCTTCCGTCCGCGTCGGGGCTTCTTCTTCTGCTCTTTGGTGGCCCCGGCACTCTCGGGAGCTGCAGGGGGCTCCCCGTGGGGCGCGCTGGGCTCCTTCTCGGGCGCTGCTGCAGCCTCTTGCTGGCTGCCTGCAGGGAGGCCCTTGGCATGTTCCAAGTGGGCCAGCAGGTGCTCTGCAAGGAGGCCGCAGCTGACAGCATGTCTCGTGGACAGGGCTTCTCGGGGACAGCGCCCACCCCGCCTGCTGCCCATCCCACCTGCCACCCGCTCCCTCTCTGTGCACCAAGCTTGTCTCCTTCTTTCTCTTTTTAACAGAACTGGGATGGAACCCAGGCCTCTGCACTGAGCTACATCACCAACGCTTTTTACTTTTTTTTTTTAATTTTTGGACAGGGTCTCACTGAATTGCCAAGATGCCCAGGCTGAGCTCAAACTTGTCTTTCTCCTGGCTCAGCCTCCCAGAGTGCTGGAATTGCAAGTAACTGTGCCCTTTGTATAGATAAATGAATCTTCATTTCACTGGGTTTGAAAATAAAAACATTTCCATTGCTCTGAACACACCTATAGGTCAAATATGCTTTACCCAAAATGCCTAGGACAAGGAGTGTTTCCAACCGTGAAGTTGTGGATTTAGGGTTTTAGAATTTTACAGAGTTTTGGATTTTGGATACTAATAAGGGATGTTCAACTTATACTATTTTTAAAAATTGGGCTGGGGATTTAGCTCAGTAGTTCTGGTGCCTGCCTCGCAAGCCCAAGGTCCTGAGTTTGATCCCCAGTACCAAAAAAAGAAAACAATGGCACAAGGGCAACAATGCTCTGGTTTGTTTTGAGTGGAGACAGCCTTGGTGGGCGCCCAGCGGAGATGCCTGGTGGGCCGGACAGGAGTGGAGGCAGCTCTCCCCAGTGGGCAAAGGACGCAGGTTGGAAGGAGGACGTGGCCAGGGCCAGGTGGGGCTGGCTTGGTCTCCCCACTCGAGCCGCGTGAGCTCATGGGCCGCTGGGTTGCTCACCACCCAAGGGGCTGGGGACCCAGCCGGGGACAGCAAGAAGAAAGCACAGGCAGCCTCGCAGGCACAGCCGCCGGCAGCACAGCCCAGCACCAACTGCAGAGAAGGCAGATGCCGCAGGCGCTTGGTACACTGCTGGGCACAGGACTCGGAGCCAGACCCTCGTGTCTCCCTGCAGGGTGCTGACAGCCACACCGCATGCAGAGGTCGGGCTGCAGGCTGTGGAGAGGGAACCTGGGGTCTACACAGCCTGGCCAGGTCCCCACAGGACTCCAACAGGGCCAGGCCCCCAGGCAGTGGCCAGAAAGTTGGCCCCAGCCAGCTGTCAGACGGGGAGCAGGGGCAGTGTCCCCACAAGGAGCTGAAGGCCCGAGCCAAAACCCCCAAGGTGCAGAATAAAAGCTCGAGCTAAAACACAAAAGAGGGCCGGGGATTTAGCTCAGTGGTTCCACAGCCTGCCTTGAAAGCACAAGGTCCTGAGTTCGATCCCCAGTACCAAAAAATAAAACACTCTTGGAGGAGTAAAGTGAAAGAAACCCTCTGCTCTGACACTTGTTACATAAACAGCTATACTGGATTGTTTGGGTAATATATTTATATCACAAGTTTGGGATAAATCCATACTGGTGCTTATAAGATTATGAGCGTAACAATTTATTGACAGCTGTGTGATATATACGATTAGCTTTCTGCTTTTTCTAGAGTTAATTATTGCTTTAGCTTTTTAGCAATTGCTTACATATGAGTAAATTACTGGTTTGGTTTTTTTTGTTTGTTTTGGCTTTTTTAGGTCCTAGGGACTGAACTCAGGACCTTGTGCTTGCTAGGCAGATGGCGAACCACTGAGCTAAATCCCCAGCCCTTGTTTTGCTTTTTTGAGACAGGGTCTCTCTGTATTTCAGGCTGGTCTTAAACTCCTGACAATCCTCCTGCCTCAGCCTCCCGAGGGTTGAGGGGTGCACCACCACACCTACTATACGTTCCTGACTGATCTCTGAACTCGCAGGCTCTCTCAACAGCAGAACTCCTCTTTTTACAGTCAAAAGACACCCACTAACCTCTCGATTTCCTCCCTTCTTCCACACCACTCTTCCCGGGGCCTGGGTGTGGCGGGGTCTGGCCCCCAGCATGTCCTCTCCACTCCCTACAAACGCTGGGCACGGGCTGTGCCCTGGATGGACAGCGTGGTGGACTCTGCACTGGGCACGGCTCCCTGTCTGAGCCTCTCCCGCCCGCGGCAGGTCTGTGGTTGCCAGAGCCTTAAGGACGCAGGGCCTGGTCCACAGCACATCTAGTGGTCAGAGGCTGGTGAGGAAGGACGCTGGAGCCAGTGGCAGTGCGCCTGGCAGCGTTTACACCAAGTGGTTCCGGCTCACCTTGGATGGTTTGAGTCCTCTTTCCTGAGCCTCTTTATGAGGTGTGATCAAAAATACAGTGCTGCTGCCCAGCACCATCTGGCAGAAAAGCAGCTCATGAAAACACCATGCTGTGTCCTCATCCACCTTATTCTCCAGATCGGGCACCGTGTGACTTCCGGCTCTTCCCCAAAGCCAAAATGATCATGAGAGGGAAACGTTTTGGGTTAATTCAGGACATCAAGGCAGCCAGGACAGTGCAGCTAAAGACACTCGGGAAAGAGGGCTCCAGAGCTGCTGCAGGAAGTGGCCAGGACCATGGGAGGAGTGTGCTGGGAGTGAGGGGGAGAATTCAGAGGGGACTTGTGGCCACTGTGAGAGAAGCTACCACCACTGCATTTTCTGATCACATCTCGGCTGCTTCATGCGAGGCTCAGAACGAGTCCTCACTGACCGAAACCAGGCAGCCACAAAGGCTGCGCACCATGCTCCTTGGCTGTGGGAGACGTGACCAAGGCTCCGAGTCTGCCCATGCTCGTGGGGAGCAGCACGTGGTGGGTGTGAAGTCACTGCCTCGTCACTGTGACCTTGTCACTGGGACCTGCTGCTTCTCTCTGAAGGCTCTGTCTTCACCCCAGGGTGACGAGCTCTCCTGAGGCCAGGCCGGGTCACTGTCTCTCGCTCGCGCACACCCTACTTCCAGCAGAGCCGCCTCTGCCACCTCTGGGATCTGAGGCCTCCTCCGGACTCCACCCTCTTCCCTCCGTCCGTGCTGTCCTCGCCTCTCTCCATGGCAGGTTCCTTCAGTGGGACCTGTGGCGCCCACCTGTGTCCACCAGGGAGACGCCGCCCATGCCCACCGGGACCTCACCTCCGGTCCGCAGCTTCCTTGGAGCGAGGTGCTTCTCCAGCTGCTGTCCCTTCTCTGTCCCAGTGTCTCCTGGGTGTTCCCAGCCCCGTGTGGCTGGTCTTCCCCGCAGGACAGTCAGAGGGTGAGGGTCGTGCAGGGTGCCTCCGTGTCCCCTCGGGACTGGCCGTCCCCCGAGCAGAGTCACCTCCCTCCGAGGGGACGTTAGCAGCAGGCTGAGGGCCGAGGCCCTGTGTCCTGACCTAGGTCTGTGTGCTGAGGACCAGGACCCCGTGTGTGCTGAGCGGCCGGGGCAGGGTGCCAGGCGCCTAAGCTCCTCGTGCAGCTCCACTCCCCGCCGCCCAGCACTGGCCCATCCGGGCCTTGTCACCGGAGGGACAGCTTCACCGCCCTGCTGGTTTCTGCTTCTCTTGTCGCCTTGGTCACCGCTGCTTCAGGAGCGTCCTGTCTTCCTGTCTCAGCCATGGTAGTGAATTCCAGAGATGCCAAGCTTACTGTGCCCATTCGTGCCCTAAGACAGGACAGGGCTCCCCGAGGGACAGGGGGAAGTTCCAGGACAAGTGTCCGGTCTCCCGCCCAGCTGGTTAACAGCTTCACCCAAAGCCAGGCATGGTGCCGCATGCCTCTCATCCCAGCACTCAGGAGGCTGAGGCAGGAAGATCACCATGAGTCTGAGGCCAGCCTGGGCTACAGGGGGGCTTCAAGGCCAGCCTCTAGCATCCTGGAGCTCTGTGTGGCGGGCCTGTCTTCAAAAAGCATGAGGCAATCTTCATCTGCTTGAATTCACACATCTTCTTTTAAGTTCAATTAAGGAAGAAATGTGTAAGAGAAGTCCAAGTTGAAGCGCTGGTTTGGCTTGAAAGCTGGACAACCCTAGAGGGTAAACCTAGCAAGCCGGACGCTGAAACTACACCATGGAGCTGTCCTACGCCAGGTGGACCTCTCAGGTACAGTGTGATCAGGGCTGAGACCAGGGAACCGCCACCTCTGCTCTAGAACCCTCAGCTCTAACACAGCCCAAGGACGACTTGCTGGCACCAGGGGCGCCGCCCCGATCTGGCACCGTCCTGGGGGCCGGCCCGCGGGGCACACACAGTCCTCTGTCCCCACGGCTCTACTTCTGTACTCCTCAGCTTTTGTCTGGTGCTGCCCCCCATCCTGCAGCCATCGGGTGACCAAGCAGCGTCCACCCCCGGGGGTACTTGGGTGGGGGATGAGCAGGCTGCGGTTGGCAGGGGCCAAGGTGGGCTGGGGCAGTGAGAGTTGGACCCCAGCAAGCATGCAGAGGAGGCTGGGCCCGGTCGCATGAGGCCTCTGCCTGTCACCTGTGGCCACTGGCTCCGCTCAGCCAGAGTAGAAGGATTTTACTTCTTCATTCAAAACCATTCGCCAGCCAGGCGTGGTGGTGCACGCCTGTGATCCCAGCCCTGGGGAGGCTAAGGCAGGAGGATTGCTGTGAGTTTGAGGCCAGGCTGGGCTACACAGTGAGTTCAGGGCCAGCTTGGACTACATACCGAGACCTTGTCTCAAAAAACTAAACAAAGCAAAACAAAAAGCCACATACTACAAACCAGAAAAGTCTTTCTGCTGGCAGGTGATCCCTGTGCTCTGGGTCCCAGAGCTGGTCCCCATCCACCTGGAGAGGGCTGCGCTCACTCACAAACACAGCCCTCAGAGAGCCCCAGGGCCACCCCGCCGTTTCTGTCTTGGAGACAGACAGGAGGCTCCGTGTGGGGCCGCGGGTCATGCCTCCAGCCTCGGGCACGTTGTACACACGATCAGAGTTCACTGCACAGCCGGCCGGCCGCACACGCCCTAAGAGAATGCTCAGAAAGTCCCCAGCTCAGGACTCACTCGACTGCCCCAGCCCCCTCTGAGGCGGTCAGCTTGGGCAGGCAACGTGGGACAGGCAGGACGGCAGGACAGCAGGACACCTGCCTGTCCCGGTGCCCTCAAGCCTGGCCACGGGCAGCTGTGTGTGGCCTTGCTCCCCAGGGAAGGCAGCTGGAGGCAGGATGGAGCGGGGATAGCCGCCCCCCCCCCGGAAGTGCCAAGATCAGTGTCCACGCAGCAGCCTGGCAGCACCACCCCTGCCTTACCATTGAGCAGCTGTAGCTCCAGGAAGGAGCTGGCACACACCTTGCAGGCCCACGGGCCGCGCTCGGCCTCTGTAGGGGTGCTGGGTTCTGGGGCGCCTGTGGCTGCAAGAGAACAGAGGAGCCTGGTGAACCATGGAGCCCTGCACCATCCCAACATGTGACAACGGTGACAGGGCCGGCCAAGCTGGCATCCCATGAGCTCGGGCAGCATGCCAGGTGCTGCCTCCGTTGCACACACGCTGACCACACTTGTCACTGGAAGCACAGGGATGAGAACCTCGGCTGCTGGCTCCATGTGCCTGGATGGGGCCCTGGGAGAAGGAGCTCAGGAAGGGGCTGGGTGGGCTGGGGAAGAAGGAGGCCATAGGGGGGCGCTATCATTTTCACAGCCTGCAGGGGACCCCAGAGGAAAGTCGCAAGGAGCAGCCAGCCTAGGGCGGGGGCCGAGTGCTCAACAGGCAGAAAAGACACAGGAATCAGTGAATGAGTCGAAGACCACTACTGTGGCGGTTGGGTGCAGTAGCAACTTGATGGCTTTGGGACGCACCCCAGGGATTGGCGGGGTACACTTCTGGCTGTGTCTGGGTGGTCATGGAGGTGACCTTGGCGTCTGTGTCTAGTGCCTTCCTCTCTGGCCCTGGTCCCCTGCTCTGCTTCCCAGCCGCCATGAGCTCAGCAGCTCTGCTCCGCCAAGATGCTCCCGCCTTGGAGCAGCTGACCGTGAAGTGCATCTCCAGAAACCATGAGCCACACGAAGCTCCTCCTCCTTAGGATTACGGCCTGCGTCCCAGCAGCAGAAACGCTGACTAACACAATTGCCTCTCCAGGAAAGACCTGTTTGCCATTTGTCCCTGAACAGAAGGTAAAAACCACAAAAGGTAATTCTACAATCTTCCAGGTGTTTATTTACTTTCCCATCTGAAGCACGCGCTCAGGTTAGGCTACGTGCAGGGTGACCATGTCACTAGGGGTGTCCTTCCACTCCCTGGGCATGGAGGAGTTGTGGTCACCCTGGTCCTCCTGCATCAGGGGCAACCCCGCTGACAACGGTCATTTAAATCCATCCTTCCACACAGCTGCCCATCAGAGGCCTCTGTGGTGGCGGAGAGCAGACAGGAGCCAGGACGCGATCAGGTGCAGCAATCCTGCCTGACCTCGACTAACCCCGGGCGTCATGAGGGGTCTGTCACCACCCAGACACAGGCTGACAAGGGTGAGTTCCGGGGAGCCAGGGGCCACAGCTCCCCGCCTCCGGGAGTCCCACCCAGCGAGTCTGGCCTTGGAAGTGGCCCAGATCGGGAGACACACAGCATCCCCGTGCTGAGCAGGGGTGGGGTTGGAGCAAGGCCGGTGCAGGGCGGGAGCAGCGTGTGGAAAGCAGCTGGTCTCTCTGGTCCTTTCCACCCCGTCAACAGAAAGGGCCACCCAGGAGCTCGCACCCAGCTCCTGCCCCGCCTGCAAAGAGCACAGGTGACAACCCCACGATAGAGGAGGAACTGCCCTGCTGCGCATTGGGCTGCAGAGTGGTGGGGGCTGGCCCGGTAGCTGAGCTCCCCAGCACAAGGCGTTTGTTGCCGTGGCCCCGGGACACTTGCACAGCCCATCATGGCTCCGAAACGCACTGCCCCGCCCACCGCCAAGTGGACGCACAGCAGTGCCCCCCAGAATCCAAGGTACTCGGCCAATGTGGCAGAGCAGGACCTGGCACAGCCACCAGTCCTCTCTGCAGAGCTACTTGCTGCCACACAATCTTGTGGAGCCAGATCCTCCTGGGGTGGGAGACAGCAGTGTCCGCACTCTCTCTCCACAGCAATGGGGAGCAGCATCTGGCCCCCACGCAGGAGCGGATGGAGCATGCCAAGGGCCTGGCTTAAGGTCAAAGTGTCAAGCAGCAGCCCTCCCACGCTCTGGGCGCTGGTGAAGAGCAACTGCACTCCAAGGCCCAGCGAGGTGGGATGGCTTTATGCCTGGCGGCCCACAGAGAGGGGACGCCCACCTGGGTTACCAGGACAACCATGCACCCCAAGAAGGTGCAGCAGGGCCACGTGACTTAGGCAAGTCCTGCGTTGGTGCACACACACGCATGTGCACGTAGGTACACATGTACCCTGCGCACGTGCACGTAGACCCCGCTCAGGCACCGAGTCCACCCGCACGGCAGGGAGGCGGCCTCTCCCCAGCCAGGGCCCCGAGGCCGGGCAAGCGTCCATCTGTGCTTGGCAAGCAGCCCTGCCACCCGCCTCCCGCACCGCCCCGGCTCGCGGCAGGGACCCACCCTGGCCGCTGGGGCAGGCCTGCTTCAGCATGGGCTTGTCCATCTTCTTGGCATAGAAGGCTGCGTACCACACACGCAGCTCGGCGCCAGGCGGGATGTCGCGCGAGGTGGTGAAGTACACGTCGCTGCCGTGCTGGTAGGCCGTGAGGTTCTGCTGCTCGGGCTCGGCCGCTGGCCGCACCAGCATCATCCAGTTGCAGTCGTCCTCGTTGGAGGTGTCGAAGCACACGGGGTGCCCGTCCTTCTGGAAAACCTGCAGGCCGGGGCGGGCCGGGTCACCGCCGTCCGAGGGCGCCATGGGCTCCTGGCGGTGAGGGGGCTGCACGGACCCACAGGAGGAGGAGGAGCCGAGGCCCCTGGGGGTCTCTGCCAGGGACGCCCAGCTCCAGCTGTGACCCGGGGCCCGGGGACCTGAGCCTCACCCCTCACCTGAGGTCCGGGGACGGGACACTGAGCCCTGCACCCAAACCAGCCCGCCCTCCTGCCTCTATTTCTACTTTTGTTAACAAATCCAGTGCCTTTCTTCCCGCCTTTTTGGCTGAGATCTATGTGCCTGGATGGAGGCTCAGTCTTCAGGGTCCTTGCTGAACCTTGCTTCATTATTTGAGACAGGGTCTCGCTGTGTACCCCAGGCTGGCCTCCAACTCGAGGTGATTCTCCTGCCTCAGCCTCCCCAGTGCTAGGATCACAGGCAGGCACCACCACGCCAGGCTGGAGTGGCCAGGCTTTGACTGTCACCTGGTGTCTCTAGAAGAGCAGTGTGGGGTGCAGATTGTGCACTGAGGCAGGAACTGGGGAAGCCCGCACCATGGAGCAATGGCACAGATGCTGGCCCTGAACCCCCGGCCCCGCCCCGCGGGCAGCGCCATTACCTTCAGCGGAAACGCGGACTCCTTCTCCCACTTGGCGACTCTCCTGGACTCGAAAGGGCCGAACTGTGTGCGCTTGACCAGCTGGGTGACGGCAAACACGCCCTCGGCCCCATCCTCCAGGCGCCGGATCTCCAGGTTGGATGGCAGGGAGGATCTGGGAGCCACAGACAGCGATTGGGACCCCCACCTGGCCCCCACCGAGGACCCTGGAGCTTCCGGAGAGCTCCGGTGACGGCGGTCCAGGCCTGGTCACTCCCACCAATGGCCTCAGTGCCGCCAAACCTCCCCAGGCCAGGGAGGATTCGCCAGGGCCCCAGGCAGAGCAGCGGTTTACTAAACCCTTGCAGATCCTGGGCATGGGTACTACGGATGAGAACACAGATGCATGCATCCCAAGGAAGGCCGGGGAGGGGAAGCAGGGTGGTGCCAGGTGCCAGGTGTTCTGGAAACCAAGAAAGGTTTTCTGGCTAGGCTGAGGCAAGCTGGTCTCCCGCGGTTGTGGGCCTGCTAACTAGGCTGGGTCACAGGCAGGTTGCTGTGTAGGAGAAGGGCACAGGGACTGGGACCTTAGCACAGGGCGGGCCCGGGGCCCCCACGAGAAGCATCCAGAAGTGAGGGGACACGAGGTACAAAGCACAGGGCCTGAGATGGAGGCACCCCGAGGGCCCTGCTTGAGCGAGCAATGGCCTCAATGGGTGCTCATGACCCCGAAGGGCAGCAGGACCCCAAAGGTGTGTGGGAGAAGGGAGAAGATGCAAAAATATTACAAAAATATTGTTTTGAGCAGAACAAGTCCCTGTGAGTGGAAATACACACATGGGTAGGGTACAGCAGCGGGGCCCCAGGAATGGCACTAGTGAGAGTTTGAGACACCACCACACCTCACAGGGCAACCTGTTGCCTCCACCCGAGTCACCGAGCCACTAAGGCCCAGAGCCGTCCTGGCTGGACTCGGTGCCTCCATCCCGGCCTCCAGGGCCCGGCTACAGGAGTCCTTCCCGGAATCTGCCATGGCTTGGCCTGGTCACCTGGGATCCCCGTCCAGGGCCTCCTGCTGCGCCTGGGTCCTTCAGACAGCGCCCTGGGACGTCACTCACCTCGCCCTGCTCAGCACGAAGGAGTCCTTGACCATGACCACAGGCCCCAGCTCAGGACACTCAGAGTCGTGGTACTGGCTGCAGTCCTCACACCCTGCAGGCAGAGGTTGCATCAGAGGGGACTGTGTCAGTCTGGGGAGAGGACACTGAGAACAAAGACCAAAGACCTGACCAGCCCTGCCAGGGCAGGGGAGCCAGAGGCACGAGATGCAAACAAAGACACGCCCAGCAGGGCCAGGCCTATGTCTGAAGGCCCCATGCTGCTCCCGCAAAGACAGCGCAGAAATGGGACATTGCCCTCCAAGGAGGAGCCTGGTCCCCGGCACTGTCCGCACCATGGTCACCTCCATGGTGGCGATGGTCAGTGGCCCCAGGACAGGGACCATTTGCTAGTGTCCCTCCCGCTTTCTCAGCTGCAGATGGCTGAACCAAGGGCCACCTCTGCACTGCACTCTCTCCGGGAGAGGCCACTGGCCAGGCCACACCGCAGTCACGGCTCGTGAAGTAAGGGGAGCCACGGCCATCGTAAGAGAAACAGCGAATGTGGACGTGGCTTTGCCCAGACCGCAAGCGGGAGAGCCCATCTGCACCTGCAGCAGCAAGCGGTCCCACAGGTCACTTACAGATGAACATGATCTCTTCGCTGCCATCTTCAGCCATCTCTGACACCTGTTTGGGACACAGAGCCAATCAGTGAGGAGCCTTTGTTTTGGTGACAGCATCTGGCTACATGGCTCAGGTTGGCCTCCAACCCGCCTCATGAGCCTCCTGACTCAGCCTCCCAGAGAGCTGGGAGTACAGCCGTACACCACCACATCCAGCTACAAGCTAGATTTTTAAAAACAATTCCTACCGAGGCCTCTTTGGCCTATGCAGGGATGTTACAGTATACTTTAAATGGAACAAACAGTGGGGCCTCCTGATTAGAGGTCATCTGAAATGTTTTCTCAACTAAAATAACACTGGTTTTAAATAAAAGCAATGGATTTGAATAGCCTCCCGGCTAGCAGTCTTCTGCTAATCTTTTCATACTAGCCATCGGTTTCCATTTGTAAAAACTAGACACCATATAAATATCTATTTTTCGAGACAGATTCTGGCTATATAGTTCAGGCTGGCCTTGAACTCACTCTGTAGCCCAGGCTGGCCTCAAACTTGCAGAGATCCTCCTGCCTCAGCCTCCCGAGGGCTGGGATTGCAGTCGTGCGCCACCACACCTGGCTTCCAGACACCGCTGTTTAAAAGTCGGTTTTATCCTTAGTCCTCCCTGGGCCAGGAATTCTTGGGGGCAGCCATATCCAACTCAACCTTCTTTGAGCTCCTAACCTATCCCTGATGCCTCATAAATGCTCACTGCTGAGGAATAAGCGAGCGTGGCATTATGGCAGGCTCTCTTGCTCACACATAAGCCCCTGCTTGTGTCTATTTCCTGTCCTTGGAGTGTCACCCTAAGAACCTGTGTACCCCAGGCAGCTGAGCACAGCCTGACACCCCCACCCCACCCCGTCAACACATATTTGTTGAGGAATCCAGCCATGGTCCATATTGGGATTCAGACTACTAAACTGAAAAACGGAAATAAAAACACTCGCCTCATACCGTTTGGGGAGGAACATAAAGCAAAAAGCGCAGTCTGTGCCACCAAGTAATCATCCCCACCCCACATCCTTCCTGCACCCTCCTTCTGGCCCTGCCCCTCTGGGTAAACTGCTGGGTGTCTTCCTAGCAAAGCAGGCCTGCAGATGCTTCATGGATGTCAACCCCACTTGCTGTGCCCTGGTCAGGAGGGTCTGCAGTGGAAACACAGGGTGGCACGAGGCCACCCCCAAACTGCAGCCAGACCCCAGCAGAATAGGGTCCCCCAAAAACTCATCACAATGAAGGTGGGAAAAGGGAGTCTACTCTGGTCTCGCTGGTCCTGGAGGCCTAGATAAATCCTGGGCCTGGCTCGGTCACCTCTCCCTGGCACAGAACTGCCCTGCTCTGTGTCTCGGTCAGACACATCTTCCACGCCCCAAGGACACGTCCCCTCCACGCAGGGCCACAAGGAGTAGAACCCCACTGAGATGGCTTTGGAAGAAGCTACAGGGAAAACTGAGAGGGCAGGAAACCGACCTGGAGTTTTAGCCTCTCACTACACCCGTGTACTGTACCTGACTGGGACAGTCCTCCGAGCGTGGCCTCCGAAACAGTCCTCTAAGCACAAGGACCCGGGCAGGGAGGAGCAAGATGGTGCATCTTCAAAGTCTGCTTAGCCAGGCATGGTGGTGCACACCTGTGATCCCAGCACTTGGGAGGCTGAGGCAGCAGGATCAGTGTGAGTTCACCCTGGACTACATTGTGAGTTCAAGGCCAGCCTAAACTGCATAAGGAGACTCTGTCCAAAAAAAAACAAACAAACCTGTATATCCAAAGTCTCTGCTCTTTTGACAAAGGCCACCCCTTAATGCTCCCAACATTCTTTGTAGAAGTCACCCCAGACTCCCACAGCCCGTGAGAAGTCCCCGAACAAGGGACTGCAAAAAATGGTATTTCAGGCAAAAGGAAAGGATGGAAAAGTGAGCATCGCCATGGTAACCATCAGTCCTGGGAAACCTGCCTCCCTCCGCTGGGTCTCCAAATGTGGTCCTTGGACCAGGAAGCAGCAGCATAATCACTGCCTGGAATTTCTTGGAAACAGGAAGCCTGGGCCCCACCTGGCTCTGCAGAGTCCACTCGGGACAGTCCTCCCAGGCACGTGATGGAGCCCAGGAGTCCACACAACTGCAGCGAGGGCATGGAGAAAGCCAGGGCACGGCAAGTGTCAGGAAGAGGCCTGGACACCTGGCCAGACGGTGACGGGGCGCGAGCCCCTAGCTCAGGCGCAGGTCCTCCACGACCCAACTACGCGCAGGTCATGGGGTGGCAGGCATGGAAGCAACTCTGAAAAAGGCGGCTGGAGCGAAAGAACTAGGCTCTGGCACCAGTGCAGGAGTGGACAGAATGGGGAGCCCAGACAACCCGCCCGAGTGCCCAGCTCGTTTGTGACAAAGGCAGATGCAGCTCAACAGGGGAGGCAGACGGGGTTGGGACAGGTGGACGCCCATGGACCAAAGAATGAACCTTGACCTCAAGTCTCATGAAAACTGACGCAAAATGCACCCCAGCTTAGGACAGAAACATTACAACTTGTCAGAAAACCAGAAGGAAGTCTTCAGGACCCAGGGCTGGCTAGTTCTGAGTGCTTTTATCATTGCGCTTCCGGTGTGCCATCTAAGATCTGCTCACCAAGCCTGTGCCTGTGTTTCCTGCACAAGTCTGACAGCAGCAGTGCATTCTCCAGTTTGGCTCCATCACTCCAGAAGGTGCTTAGCCGAGGCTGGGGATGGAGCCTGCGGGTGGAGCAGCACTTGCCTAAAAAGAGGCCCTGGCTTTGATCAGCACCGCAAATAAAAACCCAGCATCTTTATGTGCTGGGGTGGAGCTCGTGCAGTAGCAGAAAGCCTGCCTGTCATGCACAAGGCCCTGAGGGATATTCACACGGAAAGTTCAAGGGAGTTCAAGGTTCACACTGTGTCTGTCCGTGTCCAGCTACCTTAGCACTACTGATGGCTCAGTACTGATGGCTTTTTGACAGCGGTCAAAAAGCAGCATGCCGCCTGCAATCCCAGCACTCGGGAGGCTGAGGCAGGACGATCACAGTGAGTTTGAGGCCAGCTTGGGCTACATAATGAGTTCAAGACCAGCCTGAACTACACAGCAAGACCTTGTCTCAAAACAAACAACAATAAGATCTTGTCTATAGCCATAAAATATCTTGGAAGATTCAAATATGCCATTTTAATCACATTTTATTTAACCCTATATATGTAAAATATTACACTTTCAACATGTAGTTAATATAAATTTCGGAAGCAGTTTCTTGCCCTCGGACTCGGCGATTTGGTGTGTATTCCCAGCCCCCTTCACCTGGACAGCCGCATCTCCGGCGCTCAGAAGCCAGCCCTGCTCTGGGGGCCCAGGGACTTCTGCTCATGCAGGAGGGGCCGCCCTCCCCGCTCGACACGGCTCAGTGACAAGATGGAAGCACTGCAGGGCGCCCGCAGGTGGCAGATTGGCTCCGGGAGGGGTGACACACTGGCGCCCCGCGGGCCGGAGAATCCCAGCCTCTGCTGGCCTCCGGCAGCGCCCCGGCACCTGCTCTCACCATCAGCCATGGGATGCTGGAGATGGGGGCTGCGGGCACTCCCTGGGCCTCGGTTTCCCCATCTGTACCCCAGGGCTGGACTACACCTTGTCTGAGTCTCCTCGAACCCGTTTAAACTCCAGGCCACTGCCAGCCCCACCCTTGAAGTGCCTCCCCGGCCCCTCAGTGCTGCTCTGTCTACACTGCAGGGCCGCCCCTGTCTGTGCAGCCCAGATCCCGCCGATCCGAGATGCCAGTCCCCAAGTCTCCATCACGCTAACTTCTGGGCCCCGGACCCTGCAGGGAGGCTCCAGCTCCGGGCCCACCTGCTGTAACTCCGCTGGGGCGACGTGGCCCTGGGGAGGGCTGTCCTGACCCGTGCCTGGGCACCTGCACTCTCACTCGGAGACAAGAGTCCCATCAGCCTTCAGCTCCCAGTCCCGCAGCTGCCCATCTGATTTCCTTCCAGCCAGCAAAGCCCGGGGTGCAACTCCCACCCAAAGCCCTCTGCCAGCTCGGCTTTGCTTTATCTGCCCTGATCTGACCTCTCCTGGCTGGGACTTTCTTTTGTTTTGTTTTTTGAGTCTCGAGCCCAGGCTGGCCTCGAATCACAGCAATCCTCCTGTCTCAGCCTCCCAAGTGCTGGGATTACAGGTGTGTGACACCATACCTGGCTGGTACTATTTCTGATTTCTTTTTTATTATTATTATTTCTGATTTCTCCTTTGTTCTCGTTCTGAACTTCTTAGCTTCTTCCAAGATGGCATCTGGATTTCTGACTTCACTTTTGGTTCTTCCAAAGGAGAGAAAACAGGGTCCTCTACCGTCTAAAAAGGGAAAGTGGGCCGTATGGGCTTCAGCAGGAGGACTGGAGCTCTCCCAATGGACGCAGAACTAAGCGGCCCGGTGGGGAGGAGGGTGCTGCACACGTCTTGCCCAACACAGTGCTGAAGCAGCCCTGATGCTCTGCTCACAGCGTAGGTGAGCGGCCTAACTTGGCAACGTGTACATGTGAGGGTCACAGGCCCCCTGTGACTCCTCTCTGGCAGGCAGGCTCCAGGGGGCAGGTTGGCGGGCTCCCAGGGTGAGTGGCCTGTTGCAATACCCACACCTGCAGGCTGGCCACTGGGGGCAGCATCAGGCCAAGACAGAACCTTCTCCAGGCCAGCAAACTGGGACCCACCCACGTTTCCCAAAGACCCTTCCTCCCTGCTCCTCCCAGCGCCTCAAGAAGCCACACAGGCCACAGAGGGCGTGTGGGGCTCCAGGTGGGGCTCTGCTCCCACTGCGGCAACCCCGGATCCTCTCAGCCTCACCACAGTGCTCAGCCAAGGTGCGCGCCCCTGTAACAGGGCGGACCGCCCTGGACACCCTGTCTTCCTGAACGTTCCTTCCCCTTCTGGAGTCCTCGGCTCTCTTCTCCCTCCCTCTGCACAGGCACTCACCCCACGGCCCCTCCCCACCTCGCTGCCACTGCACCGACCCAGAAGACATGCAGGCTGCATCTCGGGCACAGCACCCTCCTCATCCGGGATCCAACACTGCGAAGGACCTAACTCCCACCCTGCTATGAGCACTGACGCCCACAACCAACTCCCCTGGCTCGCTGAGAAAGCAGCTGCTGACCCCGAAGCCCACGATGAGCCAGCAACTGTCTTCAGAGGCAGCCACACCTCCCTGAGCGCCTGTCCCCACCCAACACACGTGTGTGCAAGTGACTGACGCCCACCGCCCACCGCAACTTCGCTATTCCACGCCCATGAGTGCACAGAGCTGGATCCGCGTCGGGGCTGTGGGCCCATAGCCGGGCTGCTTCCTTCCAGACTGAGCTGTTGCATTCTCTGGACACGGCTGGCCAGTCACACATGTCTGTCTCGGGCTGGGAGACAACTGTCCAGTGGAAAGCTTCCTTCAGCCATGGACGGGACACTGTCCTCCTTCAGCCTTCTCCACCCCCTTCATCCCGCCACAGAGGCTCAGTGGGGCTCTGAACTGCAGGGCTAGGTGTTCGGGGCCTCTCCGAGCTGCACTCAGGACCATGGCCACCCCACGGCTGGGGACAGTCCCCTGAGCTGCAGCAGCAGAGGGGCAAGAAGGCCAGGGCAGGCTCCGCCCCCCCAACCCAGGCAGCCAATGGCTTCTGGGCAGAGGGCGGTCCCAGACACTCCCACCTCCCCACCAGGGCCCCCGCTGCCGGGCTGCCCCAGGCAGGACCTCCTGTCCCTGCTGCTGGGTCCCTGAAGCAGCTCCAGGGCCTGGCTCTATTTTCAGTGCTCGCCAGTGCCTGGGCACTCCCCACCCTACAGACACGGCCCAGTTCCAGCCAGGACCTCTGGCCTTGCCGGCAGCTTCTGGGTCAAGCTCACCCTGATGGCCAGCAAGGCCCTCATAGCATGAGTCTCTGCTCAAGAGACCCCTCCTCAGACACTGCCTGTGCCACCTGCCTGCCCACTGGGTTTACCAGGCCCTGCCCCTCCCGGCCACAGCTAGGCGCTCAGTACGTATCTCTGTGGGCGTTTAAATGTCCCTGTGCGCACACAGACACCTCGAGGGGAGTGGGACAGGTGCTGTCCACACTGCCACACCTTGGAAGCAGCCGTGAACCACCCTGAAGTCTGTGTCCTTTCCAATGACACTGAAACACGATGCGGGAGCTCGGGGACCGGGCCCCCCTCACATCCAGTGATCCTGAGGGGGACTGGTGCCTGGCAGTGGCGGTGACTTCTTAATTTATTAATTTGTCTCCTGGAGAAACAAGCATCACAGCTGCTTCCAAAATGAACACGATGCTTTTGCAAAGCAGGAGTCAGATATAAGAACAAAAACTCTAAAGAAGAAAATTCAGCTTTTTTCCCTTTGAAAATCCCAAGTCTGATCCCACCAGATCGGCTCCCTGGGAGGCCGGGATCGAGCAGGGGAGCCAGGAAAATGTGGAGCAGGTGACAGTCAGGTCTGGACCAGAAGGTGGCCAGGGAGGGATCCGGCACTGAGAACAGTGAGGCGTGGCTGCACTCTCCAGGGAGGGCTGTCCTGGCCGCCGCTTCTGCTCGGTCACAGGGCCAGGTCACCTTCCCTCGCCCCTGCAGGGACCCTCGGGTCAGCGCAGCTCTCCACGCCTACCGGGTGGACCTGGGTCCAGGAGCGGCTGGGGCGAATGCGGGTTCTGAAGGTTTCGCACAGGCACGGTCCGCGTGTCCGCCACAAGCCTGCCGCTACCATGCTCCCAAATGCTCCCACTTTCTCCCGGCAGGGGTCACTTCCAGGGCGTGGAAATGGGGGCTGCACAGGGGCGAGGCCAAGGAAGCACCTGCCCAGGGGTAGCTCTCTCCAACCGGGGTCAAACTCACCCCCAACACTGGGGCCCACGGGGCCGTGCCCACCCGCCCAGCCCTTCCCGGGAGGGCACGTGTCACCTGCTAGCCCTCCCCCACCTTCTCGGCCACAAACATTCAGGAAAGGAATTAGCAAAGGGTCCTGGGAGCCGCCACCCGATCTGCTTTTCTACACCCCAAAGGGGTTGGGGGCCCAGGGCCCTCGCGGGCTCCCCACGGCTGTGCCCGGGCCGGGACAACGGCATCCAGGCGGTGTGGGCGTCGCCGGCCTCTGGGCCTGGCGTGGGCGGTGGGCGTGGGTGCTGGGCCCGGCCTCGCGGAGGAGGTGGACGCCGGGCCCGAGCGGGCAGCGGCCTGGACGCGGCCCGGCCGGCGGTGCGCGTGGCGGGCCGG